TATATGTTGTTTTTTTTTTTTTAAGAAAAGAGGAGGAAAAAGAAAAACCAAAAGATTTTTTTAAGAAAAAAATCCTTAAAGGGAGCTGCTTGGAAGTGGCCTCCCCAGGTGCCTTTGGAGAAAACTGTTATTGACTCTATGAGCCAGTGTCTGCCTAGGGGAGTGGTTTGGGGATTGACCTCGCCAAAGTGAAGGGGAAAGCTTTGCTGATACCCCAGGAAGTGGCGAGAGGGAGCAAGTAGGGTTAGCAACTGTGAATGAGAGGGGTCAGGCTCTGCCCTGGGTCACTGTCTCAGCTGGGACACCTGCGTGCCTGGCTCCTCTCTTACTCAGGGGCATTCAAGCCTGGACTTAAATAATACTTTGTTGCCTAATCTTGTCTTACTCTTCTGGTGAGATCCAGGGCAGAGTGAAAAGACTTCTCTTTATTCCTTCTGTTGTAAGCAGATTTTCTTGAAATCATGTCTCATTTCCAATTCTACCTTCAGGGGCCCATAGAGGTTTCCCAGCCAGGAATCTAAACATTTGTGGGGGTGGAATGGAATATAAGGCAGGTGGGCAAAGACTTTGGGGTTAGAATGGAGGGGAATGGCACAAAACCTTTGCTTTGCTCTGTGCTGCTTTGTGTGGATGGTGAATAATCTAGGGATGATTTGCAATGGAATTTTGGGACCCAAAGAGTATCCAACAGGGATTTTTTTTTTTTTTTTTCCCCTAAACCCTTCTTTTGGGAACCATATGAAAGTCTGGATGCTGCTACCATTACTCCTTTGAGAGGTGGCTCAAAAGCTCCAGGGAACTCCAGGTCCTTTCTTACTGCCTTACTACCTTCTTTTCAAGAGCAAACTCCTCTCTAGCTCACTTCCCTTTTTTCCCCACTTCCCTATGGTTGGGTCCTAGAGCTGCCCTGTTTCCTACAATAAGAGTTCTCAATCACTGTGCAATAGTTCCAGGAGGCTCTGGAGTATGGGCTCTGGTGTGTTTGGAGACCCATCTCTTCCCATTTCTTGGAGGTTCTGGCTGGCTGGTGGACCTTGCAGATCTTCCTGGGCTGTAGGGAGAGTACCCACGCACTGCAGGACTACCTGGTGTTCTTGTAGGCCTGACATTAAAAGCCAAACCTTGGGTACTTCATTTTCTCCTTGGTGCTCAGAGCACCTGTGGGGGAGGTTGTCTCTCTCAGTAAAATCCAAATTTATCTATAGACTTGTGCAATATTTACTGTTCTGGGTTGGAGAAAAATGGAAAACTCTGGGAAGAAATTGCTTTCCTTCAGGTTTTCAGTGACAGATGAGAGTTCCTCAGAAGACCTCAAACTGAACAACAGAGTTAGAGCAGCTGGTCACCCTCAGTTCCTTCTACTGCTGCCTCTTCTGAGGACCTCCTCTCCATCTCTACCCCATGTTCTCTCCACTGCCATGGCAGCCCCTTTCCTGGATTTCATAACTCCTTGGTTCTGACTCAAAGGTGCTATTTACCAAACACTTTCTGCCCAGCCTGCTTTTGCACTCCCCAGCTTCCCACTGCCTTCCCAGACTCTACTCCATCTCTCATGCTTTAAAGTTAACTCTGAGTCCACAGACCCAAGAGCTGTTTCATGGCCTGTGGGTTGAAACAAAGCTGTGAATTGTTGCAGATGGTTCTTGTGTTTTGTCCACAAACAGGTCCCTGCCTTTTTAGAAGCAGCCTCTGTCTCATGCTTAATCCCTGTCTTGTTGATGTTCACTTTAAAAACAATAAACTCCCCAGAGCTGGACTGTTGAGCAGGCCTGTCTCTCCTATTAAGTAAAAATAAATAATTGTGGTAAGTTTGTAAGCTATTCTGACAGAAAAGACAAAGGTTACTAACTGTATAATAGTGTTTTTATATGGAAGAATGTACAGCTTTATGGACAAATGTACTTTTTTGTTTTTAATAAAAATGTAGCCGACAATGTCTCTTGTAGAGAAGGTAAAATTCCATAATGCTGACTTGCAGTTCCCTGTCAGATCCAGGTCCTTTCTTTGTGTTTTGTCGTATGTCTCATCAGTTGCCCTGGGTCAGTTGGCAGCAATGGAAATGATATAAAAGAAAACCTAGGTGTGTGGTGGCCTTTTCTAAGCATCCCCTTCTCCCTCAGAGTTCCCTGAAAAAATACTAAAAATCACTTGGTTCTTCTAGTCTGAACATTCTATAGCTAGTTCATAGTTTCATTCACTCATTTGGCATGCTTGTGAAGTTGGCCTTCAGTGTCCATAGATTCCACATTCATAGATTTAACCCACCATGGCTGGAAATTATACAGAAAGGTCCAAAAAGCAAAATTTGAATTTGTACATATTCAGCCCTACCCTGAATCCATGTGAGTGTGACTGCAGTAATATGAGGTACAGCTGCTGCACCTCCTGATGCCCCGCAGGTCCTCTGAGGCCCTTGTTTGAGCATGATGGTTTCACAGACAGTTCGTAGGCTATGGAGTTCAGCCTACAATGGCAGCATCTATATTGAACATGTACAGAATCTTCATCCCCCTAAAGTCTGTTCAACAGTTGTTTCTATTGTAGTAGGCATTGCAATCTGAGAGACGATTTAACTACATGGGAGGGTACTCCAGGTAATACCAAAGTGCTAAGCCATTTTATAGAAATAGGGACTTGGGTATTTGTGTTGGTCCTAGAACCAATCCCCATGCAGTCACCTAGCAACACAACTATATTGTTAATAAATATTGAAATTGATTAAAGTTTACCCTGCCTTTTATAGACCACCAGAGGATGACCCTCTTCACAGGCTGAGGCAGGACTGTTTGCCATTTCTGGTAAAGGTTCTTGTCACCTTGGACTACTGCTGGCTAGCTGCTGTTCTTGCCTTGTTAGACAAGGGCAGTTGAGCCTCAGGATCTATGCACCAGGGGCCACACATGGCTGAATGCCAGTGCCAAAAGTTAGGCAGAGAGCAGTTACTTCTGACAGCACATGATGTGAGAACCCATGGTTTAAAATGTATGACTGCCTTTGACTACATGGAGAGGATCTATGCAAGATAATTAGCATGCTTGATTTTGGAGTTCTTGAATTTTGACACCAACTCAGGTCCCTACTGAGGACATAGGCACTTTTTTGACCTGAGCTGGAAGTTTTTCTTAGCCAAGGCTACATTTACATTTTTAAGCATCCTCATTTCATTTCATGACTTTGTAAGCAAACATGCAGTTTGTCCTAAGAGTTCTTGGACAGAAGAGGCTATATGTATATGTTTGTATGGTATGAAGAGAGTAAGGGGGCCAGAGCTGGAGCTTGGGAAGCCAGGACATCTGTGTCATAAATAGAATTGGGTAGCAGAAGCCACTAGTGTGAAGGGGTTGTCACTCTCAGGAATAGTCTCATTTTCACTTGTATCTTCTAACATAGGCACTCATTTAAAAGGATGTAAGGACAGGGCTGGGGTCCAGGAATGTTTGCCTATCTTTGCTATTTTAATCTAGGTTATTCAGTTCAAAGTTAGCATCTATCTTTTTGTTTCCTAAAAGGCCCCAGCCTTAAAGGACATTTTATTGCTTAGTGGAAACCTGAAATTCAGGGAAGGTTGTCTGGAGGCCAACAGGACGCCTCAACGCCATCTTTGTCAGGGAAACCACAGAATGGCAGATTCATCTTGGAGTTGTTTAGGCTCTTGATAGGCTAATAATGGCTCCTTAATTTATACAAGAGGGTTCTGTGATCCAAGAAGGTGTTACTTATTTGAGACCTGACCAATATCGGTAGGGGCAGAGAATACATTCTTGCTGTGGTGGTTTCGAGGCCCTGAGTAGAGCTGCTGGAGGAATAGGAGGTCACTGCTTTCCTGGGTTCAAGAACTAACCATTGGTCAGTCTGTTCTGCTTTCAACTTCCCTGCGTGGTAAACAGTGCCTGCCTAGAGTCCTGTATTCAGTCAGCTGTTCGGGGACGATAATGTCCCTCCCAGAGAGTCTGGGCAAGGCTCTGGAAGCTGCAGATTAACAGCCCATCCTGGCTCCTGATAAGGAGTTTTGGGTAGATGAGTCCTTGATGCTGCCACAACAAGCCCCAGGAGGAAGAAACCAATTCTGTGGGTCTGGCATCAGCTCCAGCAGCAGCCTTTGGGAAGGAAAGATACTGAAGACTCAAGTGTCCTGGTTTCTAGGCCAGCACCAGTGTTCCTTCCCCTATGAAAAATGTTGCAATATAGTTTGTGGTTGGGAGGGAGAATCTATGGTTTGCAGTCCTGGTTCTTTTCTCACTGTGGGAGTTTGGGCAAGACACCCAGCTTTTCCTGTCTTAGAAATCAACAGGGTGAACTGAGCATGGTGCTTTATGCTTATAATCCCTGAACTCAGAATGCTGAGACAGGAGGTTAACTTTGAGTTTGAGGTCACCGTGGGCTACAGTGTAAGACCTGGTCTCAGAAGGAAAAGAAGGCTGGAGAGATGGCCCAGAGGTTAAGAACACTTGCTGCTCTTGCAGAGGACCTGGTTTGGTTCCCAGCACCCACATCGTGGCTCACAACTGTCTATAACTCCTGTTCCTGGGGATCTGATGCCTTCTTCTGGCCTCTGTGGCCTTCAGACATACACAGTGCACATACACGCATGCAGACAAAATATTCATACATGTGAAATAAAATATGAGAGAGAGGAGAGAGAGAGAGACTATTAAAAGCT